GTTTGTATAAACCGTGAATCTGGCCCCCAGGTGCCTAAGGGGCGGGGCCCAATAGGGGAAATATAGCAAATTATTCTTTAAAATCCTTCTTCTTCTGTAGTAATGAAAGGATTTGGTCCATATTTGGTGTGGAGCATCCTTGGGTAGTCGGGAACCAATTTTGTATAAACCATGGGTCTGGCTTACCAGGGGCCTGAGGGGCAGGGCCCAATAGGGGAAACATAGCAAATTATTCTTTTAAATCCTTCTTCTTCTGTAGGAATGAAAGGATTTGGTCCATATTTGGTCAGAAGCATCCTTGGGCAAAGGGGAACAAAGTGTGTATAAATTGTGGGTCTGGCCCCCCTGGGGGCTTAGGGGCAGGGCCCAATAGGGGAAATATAGCAAATTCTTTAAAATCCTTCTTCTTCTGTAGGAATGAAAGGATTTGTTCCATATTTGGTCTGAAGCATTCTTGGGTGAAGGGGAACCAATTTTGTATACACCATGGATCTGGCCCCCAGGTGCCTGAGCAGTGGGACCCAATAGGGGAAACATAGCAAATTATTCTTTAAAATCCTTCTTCTTCTGTAGGAATGAAAGGATTTGGTCCATATTTGGTGTGGAGCATCATTGGGTAGAGGGAAACCAATTTTGTATAAACGGTGGGTGTGGCCCCCCTGGGACCTGAGGGGTGGGGCCCAATAGGGGAAATAGACGTAAATCTACAAAATCCTTCTTCTTCGGTAGGAATGGCAGGATTTTGTCCATATATGGTCTGAAGCATTCTTGGGTGAAGGGGAACCAATTTTGTATAAACGGTGTGTCTGACCCCGCTGTAGGCAGAGAGGTGGGGCCCAATAGGGAAAATAGAGGTAAATCCTTTAAAATCTTTCTTCTACCATAGGGATTAAGGGATTTTATCCTAATTTAGTCTGGAGCATCCTTGGGCCAAGGGGACTCAATTTTGTATTAGCAGTAGGTGTGGTCTCCGAGGGGGGCAGAAGGGCGGTGCCCAATAGGAAAAATAGAGGTAAAACCTTTAAAATCCTTCTCCGACCATCGGGATTAAGGGATTTTATCCTTATTTAGTGTGGAGCATCCTTGGGTGACGGTGACTCAATTTTGTATAATTGGTGGGTATGACCCCCGTAGGGGCATAGGGGTGGGGCTCTGTTTGAAGTTTGTTCTCTATATCTCAAGTACTGGATGGATCTTTCTGAAATTTCATATGTACTAACAGCACCTACCATGGAGTGCTATATCTTTACTTCATACCAATTACTTTAATTATATTCAGGTGAGCGATACAGGCCCTCTGGGCCTCTTGTTNCTCAAGTACTGGATGGATCTTTCTGAAATTTCATATGTACTAACAGCACCTACCATGGAGTGCTATATCTTTACTTCATACCAATTACTTTAATTATATTCAGGTGAGCGATACAGGCTCTCTAGGCCTCTTGTTTTGTACCCCCATACCTCTCAAAATGGGGGTATGCATGGCTGCATATATTAGGGGTACACCTTATCTAAATCCCCATGGGTATGTAATATCATCATAAAATTGTTAACTAATTGTAGCAATGTCATTTTTACAGGTTTTTATTTATTTCATAAAGGCAAGTGAGCTTATTTGGTGGTGCGGCGTCCGTCGTCCGTCCGGCCTGTCCATCGTCCGTCCTCGTCCGTCAACTTTTCCCTTTAACAACCCACTTTCACGGTAACAGGGGTCAAATATGCTTCAAACAATATCTTCTGAAGAACTAAACGGTATAGCATCTTTATATTTGATTGATAGCTGCCTGGGATAGAGCCCAACAACGTTTGAGAATGAAAATGACCTTGACCTTCTTTCAAGGTCACAGGGGTCAAATGTGTCAAACAACTTCTTCTGAAGAACTGAAAGGTATAGAATCTTTATATTTGGCTGGTGGCATCCTGGGATAGAGCCCGACAAAGTTTGAAAACGAAAACGACCTTAACCTACTTTCAAGGTTACAGGAGTCAGATATGTCTAATGATTAAAACGACTTCTTCTGAAGAACTGAAAGTTATGGAACCTAAATATTTGGCTTGTAACTTTCTGGGAAAGAGCCCAACAAAGTTTGAGAATGAAAATGACCTTGACCTACTTTTATGGTCACATGAGGCAGATATGTCAAACACTTAAAACGACTTCTTCTGAAGAACTGGAAGGTATAGAACCTTAATATTTGGCTGGTTATTTCATGGGAAAGAGTCAAAGTATGGGAATGAAAATGACCTTGACTTACTTTCAAGGTCACAGCGTTCAAATATGTCAAACAGTTCAAACTACTTCTTCTGAAGAATTAAAATTCATAAAATTATAATATTTGGCTGGTGACTTCCTGGGATAGAGCTCACCAAAGTTTGCGAATGAAAATGACCTCAACCTACTTTAGACGTCACAAAACAACGTTTTAAAGGATTTGTACTCAAGAACTAAAAGGAATGGATTCATAAGATTTGGCTGGTAGCATTTTGGAATAGAGCTTACCATATTGAGAAGGAAAATGACATTGACCTACTTACAAGGACACAGGGAAAAATATGTCAAGCAATTAATTCTGAAGAAGAATCAAAAAGCATAGAATCTTATAATAATATTTTGCTGGTAGTTTCAACAAATGGCACCAACAAAGTTTGCGAGGGAAATATTTTTAGTGCAATATAATATTTAATGAGAATATTTTGCTATGACTGCTTAAATATTCAGGTGAGCGATACAGGCCCTCTTGGGCCTCTTGTTATAGAATAAAAACACCAAGAATTAGTCAGTAACAGAATGAAAATTGTGTAAGGAGGCAGTACCCAAATCGGATCAGTACCCAAATTGGATCACTTTTGGCAAAAATACTTATACTTCAATAAATGTGCCAAAAAATCAGTTATAACAATGATGTATTCTTAGCCATGCACCAGTTTATTTCTACAGATGATTCGTTTTTAAGTTCAAATTGCACAAGAAAACGTAGTTCAAACTCAAATGTCAGTGTTTTGATAACGTTTTTAAACAAAAGGCCCAGAGGGCCTGTATCGCTCACCTGTTTCTTTTGTTACATGAAACTGACATATAGGTAACTTAAGACCAAATTTGGTAACTAGAACACAAGAAATTTTAACATATCTTAAACGGTTCCGAAGATATTGTTGTTTGAAACTTGAAATTTTAATTTTAAAGCTTTTAACCCATATTGACCTTTGACTCTTGACTTGCACTTAAAGTTGACCTCTGACCTCATTACTGTAATTGAGAAAAAATATTTGCACTGCTGGTCTACATAACATATCCAAGTATCATGACTCTAGTTCAAATGGGCCTTAGGATATTGTTGTTTGAAATTGTAACATATTTGACTGCTGTGACCTTGAAAGTAGGTCAAGGTCATTTTAATGAGGAAACTTTATAGCACTCCATCCCAGGTACCTACTGGCCAAATATCATGACCCTGGGCCTTATGGAACTTGAGAAGATTGTTAAAGCTTTTAACCCATATTGACCTTTGACTCTTGACTTGCACTTAAAGTTGACCTCTGACCTCATTACTGTAATTGAGAAAAAATATTTGCACTGCTGGTCTACATAACATATCCAAGTATCATGACTCTAGTTCAAATGGTCCTAAGGATATTGTTGTTAGAAATTTTAACATATTTGACCACTGTGACCTTGAAAGTAGGTCAAGGTCATTTTAATGAGGAAACTTTATAGCACTCCAACCCAGGTACCTACTTGCCAAATATCATGACCCTGGGCCTTATGGAACTTGAGAAGAAGATTGTTAAAGCCTTTAACCAAAGTTGACATTTGACCCCCGACTAGCATTTAAAGTTGACCTTTGACCTCATTACTGTAATTGATAGAAATATTCGCACTGCTGGTCTACATAACATACACACGTATCATGACTCTAGTTCAAATTGTATTTAGGATATTGTTGTTTAAAATTTTTAACATATTTGACCGCTGTGACCTTGAAAATAGGTCAAGGTCATTTTAATGAGTAAACTTTATAGCTTTCCATCTCAGGTACCTACTGGCTAAATATCATGACCCTAGGTCCTACAGTTCTTGAGAAGAAGTCGTTCAAAAGAAAAGTTGACAGTCGGACGACGGACGCCACAGTAGTCAGTACGGCATAAGCCAATTCAGGCCAGGTGAGCTAAAAATGGCGCGTATTACTGAAACAGAGATCATGTAACTTACCCACACTGGGCACAGACAGTCATTATGTAAGAATATGAACTGAAAGTTGTCATCTTTAGCTGACGACAGAAATCCAAATAGCGTCTGCTGTTTTTTCCCCCGTCATTCATGCAGTATAGTAATAATCAGCCTCCATGATACCGATAGTCCGGCTACGCACTCGGGTATCATCCTAGGACAGTGCGGACTCATTATAAATTACCTCCCGTAGTAATTATATTCGCCACTTGGTGCGCTGCATACATTGTTTACCACCGGCCTTCCGTCATTCGCGAGCAATGAAATTCTGACAGTCGACAACTTCCATATAAAATATAGTTCAAAGGTGATATGTGAAGGAAAACACTTTATTTAGGCCGGAACTACTAGATATAGGGGGCCGGAACGACTTAATACGTTATCGACTCTACATACTACATTTTCTCTCCATATAGGTAAGCATGTTTTAAGTTTTCATGTAGTTTTCAGTGTTAGACACTAACTGTATTTGCATAGTAGACAGCAGGTCCACTAACATTTTATTTCAACTAGACCTGCCTTGGAACTAGTGGACCGGACGAGGCGGCCATAGGCCGCCGAGCCGAGGGGCGCAGCGCCAAGCATCGACGGGCAAAGCCCGGAGCCAGGGGGAGAGCACGAGAGGGGTACGGGGGCTCTCCCCCGGAAAAATTTGAAATCCTAGGTGGCTGTAGGTGGCATTTGAGCAGTTTTGAGTGTTAAATTCCAATATTTCTGACCTGAGATTTTGATGCTTTTTACTAAGAAATAATGGAAAAAGAGAAAACAATACTTGTTTTTTTAGTTTTTAATATTCATAGAATCCATGAGGAGCTTATATTGTTTATTTTGAAGCATCAGCAACTCCCTTCTGCTTAATTTCTCCTCTTCCTCATCCGAATCACTTTGTTCTCCACATCTTGCCTTCTCTGCCATCTGCCCCTCTTCTTCCATCTCTTCCTCTGCCTGCCCCTCTTCCTCTTCCTCCATCTCTTCCATGGCCTCTCCTCCGTCTTCATTCATCTCCCCTGTGTATTGGTAAACCCTACCGTATCGGTATACGTATTGATTGCAGTTTACTTGTAAAATATCATGAATTCTCTATTTGATAAAAACACATATTTAATGCAGTGAAGATTTACGAAACATTATATCTTCACAAGTAAAAACTTCACTCTGTAAGTATTGTCTAATCTGAACGGTACATTATATTTCTGCGTAGATTTTCAGTGGGGCGATTTGGCGTCTCTCAAATCTTTTAATTATCTCCTTACGTCCCTGGTCAGATTTCTGCCCCCTGGCTAGTTCACTGTGATTACAGTTCAGTCCCCCCCGTCCGATTGGTCAGTCCCTATGAGCTAGTGGTCACTTCGGCTCCGCTCCCAGCTGGTCTTTAGGTGTTGGCGCAAAACTGTCCATTCTTTCTTTCGACACATTCGAGTCTTGTCACAATTTATGATAGACGAACATTACGAATCTACGATCAACGAATACGAGAGCCCAGGTATCCGGGCAAAAGAAGATGATTTAAATCGTAGTTACCTGTGTAAATGGACAGGTTATCCACTGCCAAGTAATTCTGTGAATGGCGTATGAAACAAGAAATCAACCCCGAAAGGACTATAAAGCCATGAACGAAGGGGGGTCGCCAATGTATTCGTCTGGAGCAGATATGAGCTCTCAAACGTCGAACTTGGACAGTGACGATGATACGATAACAGAAGCAGTACTGGAGGCAAGCGTCCAAGATGACACCGATCTGTTACACAAGAGCGCAAACGACCGGGATGCGGAAGTGCGCGGTTTGAGGGACGAGTTGGAAAAGGCTAAAACCAGACGTTATGTGAGGGATCGAGAAAGGGAGATTGCTGCCTTGAGGGAGGAACTGAGTAGGCTCGGGGATGACGATTCCTCGAGGGTGAAGCACACGAGTCGGAGAGACAGATCTCGGACAAAAAAGGCACCCGTGGTGAGAGAAGCAACAGGTGAGACGCATACGGACTATGATGTCGACTTGAGAAAGGTAAAAAAGATGGACGATATGGTTGCGAGGGCAAACAAAAAGTTAAAGACTTTCATGAATCCAGAGAGTGAAATTTCAAGCTCTGATGAGTCGGATCAGTCCAGCAGGGCCAGTAGAGACAGTAGGGCTCGTAGACAAAAAAAGACAATGAAATCTGGGCTAAATTCCAAAGCAGGTGACATAGTTAGGTTTCCACAAGCTTATCCACACCATTATTTACAGTACGAATATGTCAATAGAAACATAGAGTTCGGGGACCTTAACTTTCGGTTGTTTGTAGCCGGGGAGTTGGAGGTAATAGCCCGGGCGAGCATGAGTGAGGAAAAGGCCGGTCGAACAGCCTTCCTCATGAAGATTACATATTATTCTAACATCTATGAATGGAAAGCGTTGTTGGCATGGTATGCTGCTTGGTTGAGAAGGATTGAGTTGGGAGAGAGTAGGTGGAGAGATGATCCCGCATCAATTGAAGTGCCAATTTTGGCCAAGCATGTGTTGAGACAAGAAACGAAAGGGAAAGGTACCGGTTCTAGTGCGAATGTGAAAGTTGAGAACAAAAGTGTGTATGAAGGAGAGAGAGTGTGGTTTTGTGTGATGTACCAAAAGAACAGATGTGCAGAATCAGGAGACCATGAGGGTGAAATTAGAGGGGTCAAGAGGCACCTGCTCCACATATGTGCAACATGTTGGAAAAAGGATGGTGCCAAACGGGTCCACCCTGAATGTATGGCAGTGTGTCCCCATTCGTTATGACTAGGAAATACTTGTAGGAAAGTTCATAATTCTCAAGAGGAGGAATTGTTCCTGCCTTCATTTGTAAACTTTCCAGAGACGAAGCAAGAGCGGGTAGAAGTTCAGGGAAAGGTTGATAGTTTCTGCCCTCGTAATAAGGCCTTTATTATCGAGGATTTAAATGTGGGTAAAAAAGGGTCAAAGGATGACAATTTCAACAGTAGAGTTTTTAGAGAGCATAATGCGGTTAAAGCGATTGGTGTCCCTAATTTCAAAGGGGCAAAGATTCCAGTTCATTCAGGAATAAATGTTCAGTTTTTAAGGGAACATCTAACGGAATACCGTGACTCAGAAATATGTGACCTTTTAGAATATGGTTTCCCTATAGGCATGGCCCATGAACCTGTACATAATGTAAATAAAAACCCTGAGGGGGGTCTCGGTACAGTTCCTAGAAATCACAGAGGGGCTCGGGAATTCCCAGGGGCAATGGCGAGATGTTTAGAGCAGGGAATTAGTTCGGGTGCTATACTTGGTCCATTTAAGGAAAATCCGTTTACAGGTAAGACCGTGGTGTCTCCGTTGAATTCCGTACCAAAAAAGGACACAAATGAAAGACGTGTGATTCTAGATCTTAGTTGGCCTGAGGGGGATTCCATAAACGGTTGTATTCCCAAGGAAAGTTACTTAGGGGTCCCTATATCACTTCAGTTTCCGCGTGTGGATGACTTGGTCGAGTTAATCAAGGAAAAGGGTAGAAGTTGCCTTCTTTTTAAGAAGGATCTGAAGAAAGCTTACAGACAGATTCCTATTGATCCAGCTGACATTCCCTTTCTGGGGTTTAGTTGGGATGGGGAATTATTCTTTGACAGAGTGCTTTCTATGGGGTTGCGGTCCGCGGCCTATATATGTCAAAGAGTGACTAGTGTAGTATCCTTTTTAGCCTTAGTGGAAGGTTTCCAAATTTTAAATTATTTAGACGATTTTGCAGGGGCAGAGACGCAGGAGAAGGCAGAGACAGCCTTTGTTGTTTTAGGTAGTTTACTAGAGATGTGTGGTCTTGTAGAGTCTAAAGCTAAGTCTGTTCCTCCGTCTACAAAAATGGTCTTTTTAGGGGTTTTATTTGACTCGGACGAGATGACGTTGGAGGTACCACAGGAGCGTCTACAGGAAAT